GCAATTTCAAAAGGCAGGAAGCGTCTGCAGGAGCGGTCTGTAAAGAATTCTGAGCCTGTGGAGTCGCTGGGTTGAACCTCCCCGCTGGCTGCTGTGCCGATTCCCGTCTTGGGGGTGCTTGGTAGTGCAGTCACATCATCCTTGGCAGCGGGCAGCTCCCGAGCGCGCAGGGTTTCCCTGCCCGGGATGCTCTCTGGAGCAGCAATGCTGCAGACCCTGTGGCATTTTCTGTCTAGCTTCCTTCCCAGGGCCATATGCCAAGGTCCTGCAGATGAAAAAGAGGATGAGGCCAGAAACACCACCCCACTTCCAGGCCCCGGGGAGAAAGGGCCAAAGATGTTGGGGAAGACACAGGACAGAGGGACTGATCCCACTGAAAGGAGACCAACTATCCTACTGGTGGTTGGACCCGCAGAGCATTTTCCAAAGGTAATGGGACATCCAGGGGCCTGAGGAGGGGTTGGTGCACATGACAGCCGAGTGTGTGGTCTGTGGGAGAAGGGCTGTTGCAATTGGAGTGTGTGTGTGAATTTGGGGAGGGGGGAGAGGGACAGGAAAAAGGGTGTGCCTGTTAGAAAGGAAGGGGGGGCAGGGGAATGACCGAAGAGAGGAGGTGATCTAACCTTCCAAACATGATGTTCTAAGTGGGCAAAAAATGCTGTTTAGGGGCAAGAAGGAGTGTGTGGGGTCTCCAGGGTTCCTTAGCAACATGACTGAGAGGACAGGGAATGATAATGCAGGTTAGTGGTGAGTCCCACCCCTGCACTGGAGACCGGCAACGGATCGGATAGATCCTAAAATGATCCTGAGTCAGTCTCTGGTAATTTGGCAAGCCTCTGGTAAAACTTGCATGTGCTGGGCAAATGAGTAACTGGCTGCATTATCTGAACAGCACAGCCCGGAAGAGAGTAAAGCCTGTCTCTGGGGAGCGGGTGGTATAAGGGAGAGACTAAAATCTGCGTGAGGATGGGAAGTTCCCAGGGGGTGGGAGAGCAGGGAGATGGTGGGGGTGCACAGTTGGCAAAGAATAAATGGTGAGGCTTTGTCTGGGGGGAGGTGAACAAAAGCTGCTTAGTTTAGTGCTGGGGCTTCCAGCACAGTGCTGGCCGACTGCAGTTCTGGTTTGTTAGGATGGGGAGGGAATGCTGTCCGTCTCCCCTGAGGATGGTGCAGTCAGCTCTGACTACATGTGGTTTAAGACCAAGGGTGTGACCTGGGATTAGGGGAGAACGATTTGGGCATAACCCCTGCTAGAGGTAGAGCTGGGGATGATGCTGAAGGGCTTGCAGGGGTGTGTGACTTTCAGGATCCAGCTTATTTGACAGGGAATCAGGTGTGGTTGTTGCTGCAAGGTTTCTTTTTAAAATGGGGGACGTACAGGTTTAAGTTGTAGAGGAGCTTAATATCTATCCTGCTGCTGTTTTGAATGGAAACAGGACGGCATTTCTCATTCTGGGGAGCAGAAGCCACTCCCTGCTTGAATCAGACTGAAAAATCTGCAGGGACTTTTGCCTTCATGTCTATCCTTAGCAGTTAGCACTGTGCATCTCCTTCCAAAAAAGGAGCATGCGCGTCCTGAGAAGAGGAGGACTTTGGTGCACAGAGGTTGAAGAAGGACAGAGGCTCTGAACTGAAGTAGCTTGTGATGAAAGCCTTGCAAGTGTAGGGCTGAAAATCTCTGGTGTCTTCTAGGGAACAATAGTCCCTCAGTCAGGGAGAGTCCATCTGTTCACACCTAGAAATTAAGCTTTCTCTGAAAGCTGATACCAATCTCCTCTTTCCTGTGTGACCCTGGGAAGTTTTACTGCATAGGAACCCTAAAATTGGCTAATGGAGAAATACCTGGAGGATAAAGATGTGGTAAAATGGAGTTGTTGCATCTTAGGAAGTAACTGCCCATCTACCAGGAGGTTGTGATTGTGTAATTTTAGCCTGCCCTGATTGTAAAGTAAAACACAGTGTAAAGCTGTTCTGTTGAGGATTATGCAGATATGTTTTACCTTGTAGTTCAGGCCGGCTAATGCTGCATCCAGCCACTGTGGCTCTGCTGATGGACAGCAACTTGTTAAGCTGCAATGACTTGTTTGTGCTTGATCAGATATCAGTGTTCTAATTACCTGTCTGAAGGAGAAGTGTTGGGAAAAGTCTCAGACAGCCTTAGGGAGAGATAATAAACCACTGTGAGCAAACAGTATTATTTGGTGTTTATAGAAGATGTGGGGGCTTTTGTTCTCTGCCACTGGCTGGCTGTGACCTTGGGAGCAGTCTCTTGTCTGGTAGGCCACTTTGTTTTGTAAAAACACCTGTAACTACCTATTTGCTAAAAACACAAAAAATACGACACCTGATGCTGGTGTTAAGGAATTGCCATGTATCAATAAACTTGAGAGGAGGGGCTTCCTGGCCTTGGCTCTTCAATCTCCACTTGTCATTGGTGTGTTTCTCCTCAGAACCTTACCTGAAGGTAACGATTTCAACATGAGGCTGTTTCTGCAAACGTGAAAGAAAATACTGATTGCTGCTGTGTTGTGTTTGCCCCGGATGTGTGTACACAGGAGAGACGTATAATCTGCCCCTGATGTCACTATCTGGACTTGTAACTTTGGATCTGCATGTTGTCAGTGGAACAGGTCACCTGTCCTGGTTACCTTTGTGTCAAAGACTGCGTAGTGTTGTCTGCTGTCCCTGGTCTCTGTCCTTTCCTTTGCAAAGTTTTGGCTGGCTGCACCTCTTTACTCTCCTGGGGTCTCTTAAATTATTAACTCCCCTCCTTCATACTCTCTGTGTTTTTGAGGACTTTCTGTACTGTCCAATTAATTATAAGCTAGTTTCTAGAAATTAGAGGAGACCAAGTCAGCAGAACCCAGTGAAACCTTCGAGAAATAGGGCTGGGGCCCAGGAAGCTGTTTTGCCTCTGAAGGAGGATGTTATGTGACTGTGACGCTCGCTGGCACTTGATATTTTTAGAGACTTTTTTTTTAGCAAAGTAAATTCAAAATTAAACAGCATACTTTGCTGCTCCTTGTATGGCTGCATCTTTCCATCCTTTGGGAGGTACGTTCTGGAGCTGATGTAGTAAATCAGTGATGAAGCAGATGCCTAGAAGAGTACAAATTACTTGGAAAGGTTAGTGTTGGAATGGCAGGGTATGGAAACTGGTAACTCCTGCAGATTTAAAGAAGAACCAAATCCTATAAATAAAATGAAAATGAGTTGGCAGCTTCCTCGATGACAAGAACAGTGAGCTGTGAAGGTAGACAAACCCAGATACTGCTCCCTTTAGGAGAGGATATCAGCCAGGCTGGCTCTACATCACCCAAAAATGGCTTCATTGGCAGAACTGGTGGCTGGAAGAAGTATCAGGGAGGAGTGACCTTATTTGGTGCTCTGTGCCCTGTCCTTGGTTTGATCAGGAATAGACAGTGCTAATGAGGGATGTACTGTCCGTAGCTCATGCCTGAAGCCCTGGGCTGGGTGTGCTGCCCACAGGGGCTGGGGGAGCAGGACCAGCTCTGTGTGTGCTAAGACTTGGGCAGTGACCCCATGCTAATGTCCCAGAAGTGCTGATCCCTGCAGCCTTGGAGAGCTGCCTGGCTTTTGAGTACTTCCAGCTTTACCAGGATTTTTTTAGGTGAAATCTAAAAACTTCTTAATGCTTGTTTAAGCTCCCTTTGTCATTATAACCTGAATTGCTGGTATAAACTTCATTCGTAATCTGTCTCTCCTTCTTAGCTTGCTGTCCTGTAATTAATACCCTGCTTAAAATCAGCTTTAACCTCATTAGCTTTCTCCTTTCCTATGACGTAGGTAGTAGGGCTTTTTTTCCTAAAATGTGCCGATTTTGCCTTTTGTCTCTAGCTGCCAACTCCAAACAGAGTTCCTTAGGAAAATCTGCATCATGTTGGCATAGCAACTGAGCTGCCAAGCAGCTATTATAGTGATGCTTGGCAACTCGTGGGAAGGACTGCTGAGGATCTTGAGGCTTTGTGGAGCAAATCTGAGTTGGATTTGTTCACTTAGTACCTGTTGCTGGGGGGGAGCTGCTCTGCTCTCCTTGGTCAGGCTGCTGAAGGTGTTTGTTGCTGGTCAGTGGGGGGGATGTAGCATTGGGGTGCTGCTTGCAGTGAGAGTGGTGGGAAGGCTGGGGTGTGCTGTTGGCGTGCATGCAGTGAGCTGCTGCAGCTGATCTTTAAGAGGATCTGGAGTCCCTGAGAAGATCTTGTTTTCGTGTGGAGAGACGTCAGCAGGGAGCAGGTTAAGCCTGGTTAGGTAACATGGCAGTGGTGCCATGGTTGGTGAGGTGCCCAAGGGAGGGCAGAGGAGACTGTAGGCCACAATTCTCAAGGGTACTGAGTCCCTGTGGGTCATGATCCATTAAGCTTTAAAAAAAAAAAAAATCCTTGAAATAAAGCCCCAGATTAAATATTCCCAGTTTGTGTGATTGACATGCAGCTCCACAAACAACTCATTACAGACCTTGGCTTTGCTTTAAAGAACAAAATACCACGGTAAAGACGTAAGAGCCCCCTGTGCATGGGGGCCTGAGGAGGGGAGTGCTGGTTGGACTTTGCTCTGCCAAACAGGCTGTTTGAACACAGCAAACACCAGAAAATGTTGTTGTGTCCGCAGTGGTGGCGAAAGCTGTTATCTGGGCTGGCTTGAACCAGTTCAGCAAACACACTGTGTTACTTCTGGTGCAGACAGGATTAGAGTTTGGGTTATGGGCTGTGGCTTTCTGCATCTTCTCTGTGTGATAGCTTCTCTCTGATAAATATCAAGACTATAACTTTATTTTACAATTCACATTAGCAATCAGTAATTCTGTCCTGAGCGGCGTTGTTACACTCTGGTACTCTCTCTGGTGAGCTTGGTGTTATCCCATACATCAAACTCCACTAAATGCTCAGAAACCTGTAATTATATCTGCATTAAATGGTGCTTGTGCCACGCTCCCTCCAGCCTGGCTTGCTCCTAATGAGACCTCAGGAACTCGCTTGCAAAGCAGTTAAATTGTCAAGGGTAGAAGCTGGAAAATGTTGTTCTGCCCGTGCCACTTCTCTTAGCACAGATCTGACTGCAATGTTTAATTGTGGTCGGAAGAGGAGGGAAAATATTAAGCTGGTGTAACTGCTGTGTGGATGCTTAGCTAGGAGGCTTAGAAACAGCTGGGGCTGTTTTGAAGCCTGCCCTTGATTTGGGTGATTTTTCTGTGTATTTGGCACAATGACAAACCTCCACAGGCTTTATTGCTGCTGTGTTAGTAACACTGGAGTGCTGCAGAGGGGAGAGATCTTGGTGTGCAGGGGTTGCCTTTTCCTAGCTGACACAAGTGGTTTTAGGAGAACTTGCAACAAAGCCAATCAACTCTGGTAGAGCAAAGTAACCTTGTAAAAGTGGAATTTCAAGACTGTTGCTTAAGCTGGATATCCTAAACGTGTATGAAGGCAGTAAGTGGCTGGCATCCTGCTGTTAATGTGTTTTAGAAGAACTTTCTGGAAGACAGTGAGAGTTCTCCTATGTTGCATGGTGGGAAAGGTTATGGTCAAGACTGATCCTTACTGTGCTGCCTGTATAAATCACCACAGAGGCGAGAACAGGATCAGGAAAGACTGATGGGGATGTCAGGAACAGCAAGTGAGTGTCCTGGCCCTTGGCCAAAGCCTCTTGAGCTAAGAGGGACACCCAGTAAGAGTTAACTGGCGGTGAGTGTGATGTAAGGGTTCTGGGTTAATGGGAGTCAGGTGTTGAGCAATGGGAGCAGCTCACATGGCTGCTCTGTGTCAGATGGGTGGGACTGTACAGCCCCGGCTTCCCTTTTAAGTAGAAGGGCAGGGCTTGTGCAGCCAATCCCACCGGAGCCAGCCTCGCTCATAGGCATGTGTCATGAGACTTGCTGGTATTTCCTTTCCACTACGCACTGAAATTAGCTGAGGGGAATCATTCAGTTTTACTTCCCTTCCTTCCCGGTGGGTCTGAGCAGGGCAGCTGAGTCTGGGGCTCAGAAAGATGCTCTGCCTCTGTCTGTACGTGCCGGTGCTCGGGGAGACGGAGTTTGAATACTTTGAGTCGAAGGGGCTGCCGGCCGAACTCAAATCCATCTTCCGCCTCAGCCTCTTCATTCCTTCCCAGGAGTTCTCCACCTACCGCCAGTGGAAGCAGGTATGGCCCCGAGGGAGGAATGGGAGGGAGGGAGTGATGGAAGGGTGGTCTCTGCACCCCGAGTGGCTGATTGGAAGGGGGAGAAGTCTGTGATGACTCTGTTGTAATAACTGAGTACAGCATGGACACACTTCTCGTGGCCCTTGGCAGGGATTGCTGAAGCAGCGTAGAGTGGATTTTTTCTTTCTCATTCTTTTGTTCTGAATTGGGTGAGATCTCGGTGCCTCCAAGACTGTTTGAACCAGCTGATTTGATGTGAGTTAAATAGAGAAAGGGGTTTTCCAAATTACAGTCTTCTGCTTCAACTGGTCTGCTCAGATACGTTTCCACATCCTCTTCCTTTTCCTTCTTCTTGCGTCCTGCCTCCCTTCTGACAGGAGGTGTGTAATGTAGTGTCAGCTCAAGCTGGTGAAGGAGAGCAGGTTTGTGCTGTGAGCAGGAGAGCGGGTCCCTGTGAGTGACTCAGCCAGAGGTGGGTGGGCTGAGCTGAGGGAGGTTGTGCAAGAACCTTTTTCTTTGGAAGGGAGATGCACTAAATCCATCTTGTCGCTACTTCTTTTTCATGACCAGACTGTAAGCCCAGAGAGCTGATTATTGATCAGCAAAGCTGGGGAGGCTTTTTATACCTTTGTGCAGAGACATAGATGGGATGCTGGAAGCTGGGAAATGTGTAAGGTCCCACAGCACTGCAGGGGCTGTGACTGTGCAGGTGACCACAGGAACTTCTGTGGCCAAAATAGCTGTCAGTGACCAGATTTCATATTTGCTGTTAAGGGCGAAGAGCTGCAGGCAGATATTTGTTCACATCTCTGGAGAAGTAACCCACGTGTGTTGTGGGTTACTGTCGATCAGGCCTACGGTGGTTTTGCTCTGTGACTGTGGGGGAGGAAGGTGAGCAGAGCAAAGCTTTTATTGCCTGTGGTCTCTGATCACTCCTGGCACCTCTCTGCGGTTGTTAGGGTGTGCTGAGAGAGCAGGAGCAGTTGCACAGTCACATCTCTCTTACGGGGCCTCCGAATTATTAATGCCTGTCAACTGTTTGGGGGTTGCCAGTAAGAGGGGAAGCCCTGATTCAGCTGTTCAAGCCCAGTGTGCTGACAGGCAAGGGGTGTTGGTCTATATTTAGCCCACAAGTTGAATGTGAGGTCATATCTGAACTTTACAACAGTCATATGATAAATGGCAGGTTGGGAATACTGGGCATACCTCGAAGGTCAGGGCAGCTGGGACAGCGCTTTCTTATTTAAGGTTCAGAAAGTGATTAGGAATAATCCTCATAGCATTAAGGCTAAAGAGACAGGACTTGGTGGGTGAGAGAGTTTTAATAGCAAATTATTTAGTATTGAAGTAATTTAAAATGGCATTGAAACAAAGACTTAAGGCTTATGAAGGGGACTGGTGGTCATAGAGTGAGGAGATACCACAGTAAGCTTAGGTTTGCCTATTACCTTTGAAGCCTGAATATTGAACGAAATATTGGTGAATGGAGGGTTAACCCAGTGTTTGATCTCAGCTCAGAGCTTCCTTGACAACCTATTTGCTCTTAACATAAATGTTACAAGCATTGAAACAAAACTTTGGGTGATGCAGTGGACTGAATCATACTTCATTTAGTGTTGCTCACTGATTGATGTTGAAAAAGACTTAAAAGCTGTCAAAGGCAAGTGACTGAACAAGAAGGGAAATAGGAACTCCCTGAGCCACATTCTTGCAGTCTGGAGATCACCTCTCCTGTCATGCAGCCATATGCCCTTACATAGGGCAGTCCATGGGCTGTTGCCTCATGCTGCAGTGAGTTAATTAGTCATTTACCCTGTCCTAGATGTCTGGCACAGTTTGATCTTGATTTTAGTTTTGTCCTACTAAGAACCTTTTCTTGCTCTATATGCATCTCATGGAAACTTGTGTAATTAAAGCAAATAGCTTCAGGGTGCCTAAACCAGTTCACAGGGGTTTTTATCTTTGACTGTGTTCACTAGAGCTGGACAGGCTTTTGCTGGTTGGAATTAGTTATTGCCAGAGGGAGCTTACTTCTCTAAGGATCGTAGCAGGCAAGAAATTCCTTCTGTTCAGTTTTTTTTTTATTACCTCGAGTTCTGTGATTCACTTTTAATGCAAATCTGTTGCCTCATACTTAGTTCAAGAACCTTCACAAGGGCTTTGTAAGGTGTTAAGATACAGTCCTGAGATTGGACACACTACACTAGCAGCATGTCCCTGATAAAAGCATGAGGCATCATGCCTGTGTAGTGAACTTTGGAAGACAGTTGGAATCAGGTGACTTTTCTACGCTACTGCTTTGCTCAAATTTCTTTGAGGAATTATAATTCTGTTGTTGACTTTCTGGAGGAAAAGATCTTTAAATATGGTAGAAGAAAGGGCTGACCTGTCTGAATGAACAAAGGGACTGACAGGTTTTTACTGTTTTCTGAACAGAAAATTGTGAAGGCTGGAGACAAGGACCTGGATGGACAGCTGGATTTCGAGGAATTTGTTCACTATCTCCAAGACCATGAAAAGAAGCTGAGACTGGTCTTCAAGAGTTTGGATAAAAAGAATGATGGTAAGTATGCTGATGAATGGACTAAGTGCCTGTGTTAGCTTGTCATACATGTACCTGAGCTCACTGGCTGATCTTTGCAGGCCGCATCGACGCCCAGGAGATTGTACAGTCACTGCGGGACCTGGGAGTCAAGATCTCTGAACAGCAGGCTGAGAAAATACTCAAGAGGTGAAGATTCCATTGTTTTTTCTGTTTTGTGTTGAGGGGATTAGAAAGAAATGTAGGGATGTGGAACACCTATCTCTTTTTACCCTGTACACACTTTCCAATTACTTCAGCTCCTCCCTTTTTTCCTTTTACTTTTAATTTTGATTTTCCCCCATAAATTGACATAATAAAGTCATAATGCTTTATGGAGAGTTACTGTCAGAGTCTCTCCCTGACCTGTTGAGGGGTAGTGCTTGTATCTGAGCTATTTGCATCCCTGTCTGATTGTCCTGCTGCCCTGAGCTTGCTGCTTTGGAGAGGGACCGTGCAGTTGCTCTTTGGAAATGCCGAGTGCTTTATGCATGTGGCACTAACATGTTAACAACCACTTATTTGTGCTGTTTTTTCCTCTTTTTTTCCTCTGCTACCTTCCCTCTGTCTGTTTGCCTGTGTGTCAGAATAAGGACGGGACACTTCTGGGGTCCTGTCACCTAGTAAGTATAATTTTCCCTTTAGTGTTAGTTATGTCTTTAACTTTGATAAGAGGGGGTCCAACTACTGCTGTGGGCTGGTTAGAAGGGAGAGAGAGGGGAGGAAAGAGAGCCCTCTCTGTCTGGTGAATAGAAGATTTCCTAGCCTTGTCTTGTGTCTCTTTAGAAGTCTCTTAGTAGTTGCTTTGCAAAGCTTTTTTTGGTGTAAGCCTGAATAATCAAAGGGAAGGGGAGGAGGAATTTGTCACCCAGTGGGACCCTGTACTCATCTGATGATAAATCTTTTTAGCATGGACAAAAATGGGACGATGACAATTGACTGGAATGAGTGGCGAGACTATCACCTGCTGCACCCAGTGGAGAACATTCCTGAAATCATCCTGTACTGGAAGCACTCCACGGTAAGAAATAGTTCCTCTGCAGCAAGTCTTGGTCTTTGCCCAGCTTCTTGTTCCCCAGGAGCTGCTATCACAGTCCCTATCTTTCTCTTCATGGTTCATAGCTGCCCTGTAGCCCTGGAAGCTCAATTGCTTCCTGTCCTGTGGTCTTGCCACCTATCACTGGCACAGCTGGAGGCACAAGTGATAACTGCACATTCTTCAGGGAGGTGAGGGTGTTCTCTTGGCAGCTCTGAGAGCTCCTGCCACTGACCAGCCCTGACCGGTTCAGGACCTGTTAAAACTAGAAACTGATTCCACAGGCAGCCATCCTTCCTGGAGATATTTCTGTGTGTGAATAGTAGGTAATGAGGCTTAACTGGCTGCAAGCTTGGAAGATTCCAGAAAGGTCCAGCCTTTTTGCCGTGCAGCTGCCTGCAGCTGGTTGGTTTGTTCCTAACCACGATCCATGGTATTTTGATGCAGACAAATGTTCAGCAGTTGCCAGGTTCTTGGACAGAAATCTTCCTCCTGTGACATGTTGTGTAGCAGTGGCAGCTCCTGTGGCCAGACACAGCAGTTAACGGCTGTAGATAAGCTGCTGACTTGGAATAAGCATATCCAGAACTTCAACACTTTGCACTGACAAAGAGCAGTAAAACTTTGGCAAAATCACTGGCCAATGAAGCATTTCTCAACACCTTCTACTTTTGCAGATCTTTGATGTAGGAGAGAACTTGACTGTCCCTGATGAGTTCACAGTGGAAGAGAGGCAGACAGGGATGTGGTGGAGACATCTGGTTGCAGGTGGAGGTGCAGGTGCCGTGTCCAGAACCTGTACAGCTCCCTTGGACCGCTTGAAAGTGCTCATGCAGGTATGATGGAGCAGTTCCACTTTGTTTGAATACCTGAGCAGATTCCTTTAATATTCATGGATGCCTAGGAGATGATAATGTTCATCAGCACAATACAGCACTGTGGCCAGGGTTAACCTCTTAAATTGCCATTTTTGAAAGCGTTTTGGATTATTTGAGTGATTGAAGCCATGTTAAAAAGTTATTCTTCATTGACTAGAAAAAATACAGAGAATCTTTTGAGAGGTAGACATGTGAAAACTGTCAGTAGTTAGACAGCTTTGTGGAAAAGCTGGGGTTTGGTGAAACAAGTTCAAGTCCTGTGTTCAGTTGAGAGGCCCCTGAGGCCATGAGAGTTGAAGTGGATGTGGTGTTCAGTTGGCAGAGCTTGTACTCAATATTAGAAAAGAGTTAGAAGATCTTGATTTTAGCCTGCTTTGTCACTGCACCTGCTTGTGAAACAGCTGAGAAGTTGATGGGTAGTTGATCTTAAGTTAGGTATGGGAAAAAACCAGCCTATTTAACCTTTCCTCCCATTCCAGAGGGGAGATATTGATTAGATTCGTTAGTTAATGGTAGACTTGGCAAAAAAGAAAAGAATCTTGCTTTCCCATTGTAGTAGTTATCTGGGAGGGATTAAAGCCTTGGCAAATCTCTGGATAAATAAAAAAGCGCCCTTTTGTCCCTGGATTACGGAAAAACGTAGGGCTGTCGTAATGGGGACTGGAACTAATCCAGGCTTGCTTCTCTCTCCCAGGTCCATGCCTCCCGCAGTAACAACATGTGCATCATCGGCGGGTTCACTCAGATGATCCGGGAGGGTGGGCCGAGGTCACTGTGGCGAGGGAACGGCATCAACGTGCTCAAGATCGCACCCGAATCGGCCATCAAGTTCATGGCCTATGAGCAGGTGAGTGGAAGGGCACAGACAAGTCTGGCTGCAGAAGGACAGTCTTAGAAGAAGGAGGTGATTGAGATAAGTCACGGAGCCTCAATGTCTGTCTGTTCTGGCTTCTGCAGATCAAGCGGTTCATTGGTACTGACCAGGAGATGCTGAGGATCCACGAGCGGCTGTTGGCTGGTTCTCTGGCTGGGGCCATTGCTCAGAGCAGCATCTACCCCATGGAGGTGAGGAAGGATAGCCCAGCCCAGGGGGGCTTGTGGCAAGGGCAGGGATGGGAAAATGTGCATAGAACACCAGCACTGTGATAATTGATGAGTTCTTGGAGGTGATATCAAGTGCTGCTGTCAGGACACTGCTGTTGTCCTGGCTCTCTGTGCTCTTAATGACATTGTCTGTACGTTTGTCTCCTGCTGATTCTCCTTTAGGCCTTCATGCTATTTATTCTTGTCTCCCAGGTTCTGAAAACACGGATGGCTCTAAGGAAGACAGGACAGTATTCGGGCATGTTGGACTGTGCCAAAAACATCCTCACAAAGGAAGGAATGTCTGCCTTCTACAAAGGCTACATCCCCAACATGCTGGGAATCATTCCATACGCTGGTATTGACCTGGCAGTCTATGAGGTATGAACCCTTCAAACTAAAAGTTATTATATTATGTTACATTATGTATTATACTTGTTATAGGGCTGTGCTGCTTGTGTGGCTTTATCACTGTCACACCTGTCAGTCACTACAGGACTATAAGTAATTTATCAAGGCTTTCCTGATCAGCCTTATGGGGCACAAATGGATTTCTTTTTTTTACCCCAAATGGCCTAAAAGATAATCCAATACAATGATTCTACTTCATAAACCATAGTCAACATCGTGCATGGTCACTTGTTTCTTTTCTTGAGAAAATTGCAGCAGGAAACTAAAAAAGGGATTTTCCTGGGGCACTACAGTAGCAGAAGCTTAAAAAGATTTGAGAAGCCCTGTGCTTCTGGCTGAGCTTGCACGTAGCTTCCTGGGCCTTTAAGCTGGATCTTTTATGAAACGTGATATTCTTTTGATTGTTTCTTCATTGCTAACTTTGGGCTTGTTCCTTCCAGACACTAAAGAACACCTGGTTGCAACGCTATGCCGTCAACAGTGCCGACCCCGGGGTCTTTGTCCTGCTGGCCTGTGGCACCATCTCCAGTACCTGTGGACAGCTTGCCAGTTACCCACTGGCTCTCGTGAGGACACGCATGCAGGCCCAAGGTGAGAATTTACTGGGAGCAGTGGGAACTCCTGACATGGTTTCTAAGCAGGGTAAAGGTTCTCTAGTGTAAATATTGTGACAACAACCTCAGCTGGGCCCGTGCAGCTGAGCCGTGGGCTGTTTGTGATGCTGCAAGTGGACTTTGTGCTGCCCTTCAACAACTGGGGCCAAGGACTTCCAGGACAGAGGTTCTGTTTTGCTTAGGTCAGGAGTTTTGGCTAAGGGTGTCTGTACAGCAGTTTGAGAAAATAGTGGTGATGTGCAGCATGGCCATGGTGTGCTGAGAAGTTAATGTTGTCCCCCACAAAGCACCTTTGCTCTGTGAACATCTGGAAGCATGTGACCCAGAACTGCTCTTAACATGTTTTCACCACCTGGGCTGCATTATTTATTGTGTCTTTCCCTGTTGCAGCTTCAGTGGAGGGTGCTCCCGAGGTGACAATGAGGGGACTGTTCAAACACATCCTGAAGACAGAGGGAGCGTTTGGGCTTTACCGGGGTCTGGCGCCGAACTTCATGAAGGTGATCCCAGCTGTGAGCATCAGCTACGTGGTGTATGAGAACTTGAAGATGACTCTGGGCGTGGATTCACGGTGACCAGGAGATGCTGAGGACTTGGAACTCTGAAATCTTGGGATGCAATCCCAAGACGTATAAGCCATCTCTCATTCTGTGAATGTGTCGACACTAAGCTGACTAAGCAAAGCTGTGAAATCCCAGATTGTTTGTGAGTCAGTAAGGGGGAGGGGAGGATCTGGTGTCTTTTGCCATCTTGCTACTCAGAGCTCCACATAAACCATCACGTGGTCCTTTTTGTTGGGCCTTTGGGAGACCAGGAGGTGAACTCCTGAGAGAATCTTAGGGCAGGAGTTGCTGAGGTCAGTTCCCAGCAGTATGACAGAGTAGCAAAGATCTGGGTTACAGGTCTGCTCTCAGCCTGTTGCCTGTACAGAGCTGTTTGCCTACAGATGAGCACCTTCTGACTTGCTGAAAGAGCTTCTTTTTCCATTCAGAGAGCTGCTTTTTCCATTCAGTTGTTTAACTTCCTACCCATTGTTTAAATTTGTACAAACCTTGTGTAGGAGCTGCTGCCACACCGGGCTTGTTATAATGTTTACAAATATTCCTTTGGGTAGGAGACATTCATGTTCTGCTTCCAAGACTTGACATGAAATGTAATTTTGATCTATACTGGTTTGGAGGGCTGGTGGGCAGTGGTTTATCCAGTCAGGCTGAAGGTTGCTTAAGCCAGCCTGATGAAGAATTAGAATTATTTATTTTTTATAGGTTTAAGTGTGTCTCATAAACCCACTAACAAGATGCACTTACTAACAGAAGCAGCAGACTAGAGCCTGCATGCCTGTATCCTTTGCATGCCGGGATTGGCTTGTCTTATACTCAGCAGGGGCTTGGGAAGGGGAAGGCAGGAGGGCCCTGGGCTGACCGGCACCGTGATGCATGGCTTTAGTGAACAAACACGATATTTCACAGCTCCTGTGCAGTTGTGCTCCCAGCACGACGTGAGAGCCCCTGTGCAGCGTTGCATGGACCTCTCAATTCCATTCTGCCTGGTGCCAAGGAGAGCTGTTGGGCCTTTTCCAAACCCCGTGCCTACGCTGCTATTTCTCTCTTTAGACCTCTTGGTAGATGGATGTTCAGGTTTCCGTGGGTGCCCCAAGTCAGGAATGTCCGCTGTGGGAAGGGGTGTTAGGGAGAGGGGCTGGTTGTCACTGGGAGAGGTGAGCTTTCAGTCCTGAAGACATGCTTGCTTGTCTTTCAAAGGGTGCTTTTCACAAGGCTAAGGGAAAGAGATGGCTTTAAAATTTCTCTGACTGCATTATGGGCTGCTTTAGTTAATAGGATCTGGCTTCTGAGGCCTGGAAGATCCTCATTCAACTTTTCATTTTGGGCAAAATGGACCAGCGTTGCATTCCACTGTTTTACTGCTTAAAGCATATTTATTTTGTATTTATTTGAACAGAGTTATGTCAGACTATTTTTATAGACTTGTTTAAATATTGTTACTGTGCTTATATTTCTCCTGTTTTAAAAAGTTCTCTATTAGTTCTCTCACATCACACACAGCTGAGTCGTGGGGAGGGACCTAAAGTCACTCATGTACCTTCCCTGTGGGGCTTGAGCTGCCTTTCCCACATCTGGGGTTGTTGCTGGAGGACCTCAGCCCAGAGAAATTCTGTAGCAAGAAGCCATAGGAGAGAAGGGAGCAGGTGAGGAAGCAGAAGCTTGGGGAGAGGGTGCACTGTGAGGCTTGCCTTAGTTTGGAATTGCCTCTGTGCATGGCTGAAAGGCTTTGGGTGGATGGCTGAAGTTGGGAAGTAGAAGGTCTGTGTATGTTGGATGTCACAACAGCTAACTAAGAGCAATTTGGGGAATTTTTAGGTGAGGGGGGAGGAGAGAAATCTCAGGGACTAAAGACAATACACATTTCCAGAGAGGTGGAAGGAAACTTGCACTTGGACATGAGCTGAATCAGTGCTTTGAGGCTGAATCAGAAGACCCTGCTGCTGAGTGAGTGCTCATCACATGCAGGAGGACACTGTGGAGATGTGTGTGAGAAACTGGAGAAGGATTTGCTAGCACTCAGCAGCTGCTTTTTTTTTGGACAGATTTTGGTGGTTCATGGAGAGTCTCCCAGGTGAGGCTATGCCTTAACTCTCAGTGCTGTCAATAGCAGCCTCTTGGAAATCTAACCAATCTGGATTAGTGATGATTTTTTTCCACCCCCCTCTTCCTGAGACCTGTCACAAATTCTGCAGTGGTTCCTTCCTACCAGTGTGGCCTAATGAGAATATGAATATCAGAATGCAAAAATCAATGCAAAATGACAACCATCTTTGTAGCTGTAACCACAAATTGTTATAATGCAAATCTAACTCGGATTCTTCATGTAGGGAACAGTCTGCTAATAAAGGTCTGTTAAAGAGATACTGTGTGTCTGCATCTCTTTCCTGATATGGTTTAGTGATGTTGTTTGTGGCCAGACTTTTCCTGGGATAATTCTCACCAAGGTCACCAACACTGGGAAAGATTCTCCCTTTGAGGACCTGGGAGGACAGAATTCTTAAATGCAAAGACAGCAAGACCAAGCTAATGCTGGTGGTGATGAGTCAGGGATGTTCAGACACTGTTTACCTGTCTCTGAGTGTTGCTGGACTTTGCTCATCTCTGCAGTATCCATAACACTCTGTTCAGAGAAGTAAATTTCCCAGAAAAATTGAAAGCTCTGCAGTCCAATTATCCCCTTTGAAGAACCTGGCTTACAGGGTTCTCAAAATAAAGGCTTTGTACAATTTTTTTCTTAAATAACAACCCAACCAGGAGCTAACCCTGAAGGTCATTCAGGAGCCATGGCTGGTAGTGCAGGTGGCCTCTGATTTGGTTAACAAAACTTTCTGCGGGGGCCAGACTGGATTTGTTGGTTCCTTATGTCTCTGACTGTAATTCAAGGCTTTTATTCAGCTATAAATCCACTCATAAAGTCTGGGTCCTTGTAACCTGAGCTCTCCAGCAGTGTCAGCTTCAGTCAGCTGAGACTGTTATTGATGCACTCTTGGACCGCAGCGCTCAAGGCTGCTCCCAGCATCCCCTCAGCACCCCTGCCCTCTCCTACCCCAGACTGGGATGGGGGGTTATGTTTCATGTCACAAGGTGATAAAAAGGTGTCTGAAGCAAGGGCTGGCTGGATACCTGTGCTCTGAGGCCAGGAGGGAATCAGCTGGATTTATTTCTTAGCATGGAGAAGAAGAGTCTCAGGGGGCACCTTCTCTCTCTCTACAACTCCCTGAGAGGAGGGTGGAGCCAGGTGGGGTTTGGCCTCTTCTCCCAGGTAACAAGTGACAGGAAACTGCCTCAGACTGTGCCAGGGGAGGTTCACGTTTGACATTAGGAGGAATTTCTTCACAGAAAGGCTGGTCAGGAATTGGAATGGGCTGCCTAGGGAGGTGGTGAAGTCCCTATCCCTGGAGGTGTCCAAGGAAGGACTGGACGTGGCACTCAGTGCTCTGGGCTGGGTGACAAGGTGGGGGTCAGGCACAGGTTGGACTTGATGATCTTGGAGGTCTTTCCCAACCTTAATGATTCTGTGATCTTGTAAAATTCATTTTTGCTACAGGAATCTGTCCAAAGGCTCAACACTGAAACACTGCCCAGTAAAGGCTGGACAGGGACAGGGCACCCTGGAGCTGCAGTGGGAGGAGTGGGGCCCGCTGCTGCCTTCCCTCCAGCTTTGCTCATTTTCTTCCTTTTTAAGGAAGAGAGATATTTTCAGTGCTTAATTACTAGGTTAGAGCAGAGACTGAACTACTCTCCAGACACGCAGCAACAGCAGTCTCTTGTTAAACTCCCCCACTTACACAAATGCAGTGACAGAGCTGTCCTCCCTTTGGGGCTGGGGTGGGATAAGGGATGAGTGAGGTGCCTGAGGCAGGAGTGTACCAGAGGCACAGAGAGCAATTTCAACCTTGGCACTTGTACCTTCCCACCTCCACGGTGCTGAGCTTACTGGGAAATGAGAAAACATGACCCTTTCTCTGGAAAAGTAAAAATCCAGCCTGGCTTGGGCCAGCACCCCCTCCCTCTGGCAGGAGGATAATTTGTCAGCATCATTGTGTGCAAACCTCGCTGTGGATGGACATTATTGGGGAGCACTTGTCAGATCCAAAGGGTTTGGGCAGGTACCTCTGCCCCATCTGGGCTACCTGGCAGTCAAACTGCTGTCAAGGGAATTGGGTGGTTTCTTCTAGTTAAGCACCCTCTTACTCAGGCTGTACGGGTAAAGACGTTTCCAGCCTTCTGTGTATCCCACTTGCTCCTCAAAGGCTTGGCATGTTATTTAACATAGTTAGTGATTGCCCTCTCCTGGTTGGCCTCTCTTACTGCTCCATTTCAGTGCTGCCTTTCTGGCAGAGCTCTCTTCCAAGCTTGGCGTGAAGCTCCAGGATGACTCTTCCCAGCTCCCAGCTGAATGACACACGAGGTGAACTGGATGCCCAATTTCTTTTTGCAAGCCCTGCTTCTGACCTCTTCAGAACCATCTGCTCTCCAACAGCTTGGCAACAAAATGCATGGAATTTGAAGAGAACATTTATTGCCCGAAGTGGGGTCAGTTCCCCACAGTCCCAGGCCAGGGGGTACCTGGAGGAGGTGATGCTGTGCCCTCAGCCACGGGCTCCATGTGGGGGGTGTTGCCTTTTTCTGTTTCTTTTGTTTGACACAGCTCCTGTCCAAACAACAATAACGGGATAAGTGAAAATGCCAAAGCACCAGTAAGAGAGAATTTACTGAAGAAAGAAGTATTTTCCTTTCCCTTTTTAGCTGATCTAAGAGGGGCTAAGGAAGCTCTGGGCTTCCCCAGGCACAGACACTGCCCAGGTGCTGCTGGTGACATTTTCCAGGTGTGTGCTGGAAAGAGGAAACCAAGTTTCTGGGGCAAAGCTGTGCTGCACTGGGGGTTCAGTAAGTGAGTGCTGAAGGAAAGGGGGACTCAAACTTTTGGTGAAATAAGTAAAAAGCTCATGCTACCCAGGCATTTGCTATAAGTTAAGGTCTATTAGTGCCTGGGGCTGGTGGAGGGGTACATGAGTCTGCTCTGATGCTCTATTTACATCCATCTCCTTCACCCTGATGGCAAAGGTCCCCAAAATATTTTCTGTGTTTATTTAATCAGTTTTTTACTCCTTAGATGCAGCGTCCTACCTTGGCTGGGCACAAAACCCTTCTCTGACAACACCAATTGCACCACAGCTTGTAAGGACAGCCAGTTTTGTCTTACTGAACTCACTTTGCCTTTCTCTAACCTTCCTTCACCTTGTCCAAAGTTAAATGTGACCCAAATGCCTCTGCAACCCCCAGTCCACAGCTGCCTGTGGTTAGTGTGGAGGAGCTGGGCTCTTCCTCCCAGGTGCTGCTTGTTACCTAAATGGGAAAGGAGACCTGGCCCTGCCACAGTAAGAGGGTTTCACTCCCTGCCTTTGTCCCTGTCCCCAGTTCCCCTGAACTGTGGGGGACAGTTTTAAAAGAAGCATCTTGAGGCTGGATGGGTGTTGGAGACAATGTTGGATCCAGCCTGGCTCCCTGGTGTGGGGTTTTGGGCAGCTCTGAAAGCTCAGAGCCTCCTGAGGTGGAACAAGCAGGATGGAACAGAAAAAGGTAGGATATTTTTCGCCTTCACTTTTCAAGCTGACTTGGGGACTGGGTAATTTGCAGGATAAAATGTCCTAAATAAGGTGGCAGAAGCAAGGGCTGGGTCTGGTTAATGTTTTGGTGAAAAACCTAAAGGAAAAATCTCTGGTGCACTGGCCCCTCCTGACCCTTGCTGCAGCTCCTGGGGGCAGCTGGTCTCTGCTGGGGGTTGGGGGGTCAAAATCAGGAGTTTCGAGGCAAAATGAGGAATTTCAGGGCAAAGATCCCATGCTGTAGCTATTTCTCTCCTGGCAGTGGGAGGCAGTTACCAGGTTTCCCTGGAGATGCTCGGGTGCAGGTATTTGCTTTCAGGAGTCACTTATCTGCAAGGGGATGTTATTTTAAACCTCCATTTAAGCAAGCCTGTGGTTATTTAGTCCCCTAAATCCTTTCCACCACCTCGAAAACGCCTCTCCAAGACCCCAGTTTGGCAGCTGGGGGTACAGCCTGGGGTGGGGGGCAGTGCTGGCTCTGCTGACCCGTGTCCACCCACGAACACCCACGTACTGTTTTCCAGGGTGCATAAATGATCTCCTCTTCCCTCAGCCCCAGGCACTTGGCGTGGTGCTCAAATTCCTCACGGTCAGCTGTGCTCACGCTCAGGTTCCGGGCTGGAAGAGGAGAAGCATTTGCCAGGAGTTAAATATGGACTGGTGGCCTTAGGATGGCCCTTCAGGATGTCCCTGCCCTTGCTGCCTCCTTTCCCCACCAGTGCTTGCTGTGGATGTGGTCTCTGCAGGGGTCTCTCGTGCCCATGGTGAACACACCTGAACAAAACCAGCCTTGGGTATCACTTTTTTTACTCTCCCAAACTACTCCAGTCCTGTCTGCTTTAAGGGATGGCAGAATAGACTGACATTCCTGGGGTGTTGGAAGGGTCCAAGGCTGAGTATGGAGGCAGTTTTCTACCTGTATCTTCAAACTCCCTTAATCAATGCTTTGCAGCCTGGATGGGCAATGAGGAGCCTTATCAGAGTCTAAAACTGCTTTATGAGGTTGTGGGTAGATCTGATCAGCTTTGCCTGTGCTGGCACTGCAAAGCCACGTGCTCTGCCCTGGGAGGTAAGCACTGAAACATCATGGTTGGCTTGAAAATATTGAGATTTTACAATGATATCGATGCTGAATTGTATTTGCTTCCTGTTCTTTGAATATTTATGGCCTAAGTGGGTTTGGTCTTTAACTTGTTCTTTCTGTTCTGCCCAGAGATGTGGGATTTAATGGGCTTTGTAAATGCTCCTGTGACCCCTGGAGCGCTGGTCTCAGAAAAGTTTCACTGTTGGTGAAACCAAGCTGTTGTTGTGGTTTCAGTTGATAATTTTATGTGTGTGTTTCAGTGTCACATGACAAAGTTACTTCGGGAAGGAGTTTGCATACCGTAGAGATACAGTCCCAAATACGTCCTTTCCCTCTGCAGTTGGTACTGGATGAGTAAAAGGTTTTCAGAGCTGAGGTTCATCAGTGTCCCCACAGTTTGCTGGGTCTTGGCTTGGAGAGAACAGCCACAATATTCAGATTTTTGGTGCAGCAGCAGCAACAAACCCCAGCCCAGGTGTGAACAGTGCCAGTAGCCCCTGGAATCCACCCCTCAGCAGTGTGTGAGGACAAATGTCCTGACATGGGGTGACTTATTTGGTTCTTGGTTTATTTGAATTGTGTTCCTTAAATATGGGGCCGGGGTGTGAAGGAGCCAAAGTCACCCAACTCCCGTCCTGCTTTTGGAATGTGCTGCATGGTGTGGCGTGCTGAGGCTCGGGGTATGAGGGTGTGCCTGACCCCAAGTGTCTGACCTTGCAGCTTGGGGGTCTGCAAAAACCTGGAGAAGCTGCCCCCTGCTCACAGCAGTGCTGCTGTGGCTGGGTCAGTGCAAACTGTAACCCAGGGGGTTGCAATTCCCACCCCAAATGGCTCCCCCTCTTTCCTCTGCAAGGAGGAAGCAATTCAGAATGAGAAGCTCCATTAACTCACTGAAAACTGCCATGAGTGTTCCCTCCTTTCCCCCAGGGATTGTGAAATAACTTCACAAACAAGATGGTGTTCTCCAGCGGGGGTGGGAGCAGGTTTGCTCCTGGAACAGCATTGCTCTGTGGGGTTCAGTGTGGCTGGAAGGGGGTGTGTGATCCCCTGGGTGTCCTGGTGTGGGGAGTTGTTTGGAGCCCACTGAGGCTTCAAACAGGCAAAGTGGCCCAGGAAGAAAATGCATCAGATGATGTAAAACATGGACATGGGCCCTTTGGGTGTCTCAGTCCATGGAAAAACACAGGCTGGGGGATAATGGGCGCTCACCATGCTTCACCAGTGTGGTGTTACCGGCGGCGATTTCCAAGTAGGTGAGGTTGTTAGTGAGACATTGGTCCCCCCTGGAGAGAGAGAGAGGGGTAGGGGGTGATGCCATGGGCTTGGAAAGGACCAGTGAAGACCCAACCCTGCTCCTGAGCCCACACCAGGCACCTGCCACCTCCTTCAGTGGGTTAATTGCTCTCACTGTTAAAATTAGGGCATTTCTCCTGTGCATTTTTTCTGCCTTGCCCCCACTCTTTGGTGGTGAGATGTTTTCCACCCTGAAATAACTGAAACAACAAATTGCTGCCTGTGTTGGCACAGAAAAAAATCACCCCCTGAAAGTCTGACCTGGCAAGGGAAACACCTTTTGGTGCCTGGCACAATCAGTGGCTGTGGCACTGGAGAATTCTCCTTCACAGAGGTCTTCTCCTTGCCCACAGGGCTTGGTGCCTGTGAGACCTCTGTGCCCTGCAAAATTCACCCAAACTCGGGGACTGTTGAAATAAATAATTAATTGAAGGGAGCGAGGAAGAGAAGAGATGGGAGAGGATGCACAGGGCAGCCAGGAGAGAGTCTTTTTGGAGAAATTGTGGTTGTATTTTGTACTGAAAGGCTGTGGGGCTGCAGCAGGTGGGAGGGGACGGGTTTTGGGGCAGCATCTTACGCGGCCACGTGCTGGGTGATGAGCAGCTCCCGCCCATCCGTGAGGGGCTCCACGTGCAGGTGCCCGTGGTCGATGAGCAGCATCTCCAGGAGGTGCCGGGGGAACTGGGCAGCCCCGGCCACGTACAGCCACGTCCCCAGCAGCTGTGGGGAGAGAGGGGCAGGGCGGTGAGGGCTGCTGGGTTTGCAGGGAAGAGCCGTGGGGAGGAGATTCCCACCCTCCCCGGGGCAGAATTGGTATCTCTGCGAGTTCTCTTCCTTGCACTACATTGGCAGCCAGCGGATGAAACCTTTGCACCGGGGTAAAAAAACAGGCTGCGTGTGGGGATTGGGAAAGGTGCTGGTGCCGGCTGTGGGTGCTCTGGCTGGTGCAGCAGGGTCAGGGCAGCCCAAAAAATACCCAGCCACCCCTCTTTTTTTTGGAGGTTGCTGTTGGGACTTGCTAGGGTGCCACGAGAAAACCGGGCGATTCGGGGGTGTTTTGGAAAGCAAATGTTTCACATTTGTTGCAGGTGTTTCACCCAGGGCACCTTGGCAGGTGTGCCGGGAAGGGGACAAGGTGGGGTTTCCCCCTTTCCCAGCGGACAGGGAGGCTTGGCAGAGCACCTACAAATTATTGGTAGGAGCGGGGCAGCCCCCCGGGGCTCGTGTCTCTCCTACCTTGGTGGCCGTGGCGTTGTCAGGGCTCAGGGCTCCGCAGGGGGAGGCGGCCGTGGGCAGCAGCACCGCGAGCCCGAGGGTGACCGCGATCCCGAGGGACACTGCGATCCCGGCCATGGCTCCCGAACCCCGGACAGACGGACAAGCTCGTTCGGCTCTTGCAGCCCTGCTGGGAGGGGACGGGATGTGCCCGGGGCTGCCGGCCCCGCACTGGTGATGCAACCAGCACCTTTTAGGCGCCGACGCTCGCCCTGGCCCCGGCTGCAGCAGAGGGTAGGTGTGGGCTGCTGGTGATGGGGCCGATGCAATTGCTGCATTTAAAACTTAAATCTGCCCTAAGTTTGCCCAATTCCCCCCCCCCACAAGTGGCCGCTGTAGTTGCCCCTTGCTCTGGTAATGAGGTACGGTGCAGCTCCCCCCATCTCAGGAAAAGCCCAGGGCGGCTTTGAAGAGAAGGGAACGTGTTTTTGCTGTGCCAGCCATAAAAATAGGACTGATGGGTCCCAGGAGCTCACCCCCGTGCTGCTGGACAGATCTGTAGCAGCTCCCTGATTTCCCCTCCCTGTCCCACTGCTGTCCCTGTGCAGCCGGTCTGGGCAGGACCTGCTTCTCTGGCATTATTTCTGTTTACCTTTTCCCCTCTGGTAGCAAAGCCTCCCTGAATCCCTTGGTCCGACCCTGGGCGATGGTTTTTCCCATTGTCTCCCCTTTCCCCTGCTTGGAGACACTCAGGGAAGGCACAATGTCACCTTTTGTCACCCCACCCCACTGTGACCTCTGTGCAATGTCCCAGTGCAGATGCAGCCTTGTGGGATTTGGCTTGAAAATTGAGGGTGGGATATTCAGGTGCTAAAAGTGTCGTGGTGGAGGAGATTCGAGGGGGTTGGCTGGTTTGTGTGTCTTCCCATGGGGTTGGGGCTGATGGGTTGGTGCTCACATCCCAACATCCTGAGGCTGGGATCCCCTGACACCACAGAGCTGGCGTGAGGGATGAGAATCTCTGTGCCTGCTGCCACGCCTGGCCCTGTCTGGGTTTTGTCTGGGGCTTTTCACACCTCTTGGCAGGTTTGGAGATGCAGCACCCTTGGCAGGGTGTGGAGGAGGGTGTTCTGCACATGGTGCCAAAGAGGATGGAGCAGGAGCAGCTGGTGATTGTAACACAGGGGTTTATTTTGGGTCCAGATGAGAACAGTGAAACTGGGTGTTTAATCCATGAGATAAAAACAAAGCCTGGATAGGAGGTCCTGAGGCTGCACTGAGCCTGGCTGTAGGAGGATGAGGATGGAGCAGCTGAACTGGTCCATGGGGGTTACCCCAGCTCTGAATCTGCATCACCTTCACCTGTTTTCTCCCCAGGCGGGGGACAGGCATCCTACAGGAGAGGGGAGAGTGGCTTTCAGTACCCCTCTGCCCCAAAACCACAAGGAATGGCCGGGCTGGATGCTTAGGGAGGAGGGGAGATGCACAGAGGGGAAGCTGCAGTGGGGAACAACACTTACACCTCATCCAGAACCCCATCCCAACTGGAGGCAGAAGCTGGCCTGGGGCTCACCCACCCTGGGGAGGGGTTGGTACCTTTATGGAAGTGTAGTACATGTCCTCCTCGGTGAGGCCCAGACAGTGCAGGTGGGCTTTGAACTCTTCCATGTGCTCCTTGCTCACATTGTGTGTCCGTGCTGTCAGAGGAATGGAGAAGGGGGGGAACAAAAGGGAGTTTTAGGGGTGTTTTGCTCCTGGGTGATCCCCACAGTGCAGATGTGGAGCCCACTGCCTGCCTGCCCCCATCTTTCCCCTTTCTGTATCAGAGGAAAGGGGGCTTTTTGCCCTACCTGTGAGGGTTGGGGGTGCCTGTGCCCCTTGATTTGTCCCTGGACAAGGCTTTGCCCCACATATCCAGGCAGCATCCACTCACCTGAGAGGCTCAGACTTGGTGAGTCGATGTTGATGTGATTCAGGATCAGCAGGTCCTCGTCGCTTTGGATCAGTCTGGCCATGGAAACCACCTGGTTATCATCAACTGGAAGGCATGGAGAGAGTGGGATCACCCTGTGCTGGGGCTCACCCTGGGCAGAGCTGGCAGGGGCTGCTCATCCCCTTTTATCCATGAGACTCATCCCAGCGGGGACCAGCCTGGTCCCACAGTGCTGCTGTACTCATGGTGTGGGGTGGAAGAAATTTTCCCCCCACCTCCAGACACTATTTTAGGTGTAAAAGGGCTTGTGGTGCCCAGTTCTGGGGGTCAGAAGCAGGAGAGTCCCAGGTGCATCCCCTCCCCGTGCTCTGACTGGGCCTCACCATGCACCAGGGTGGAGTTCTCTTGCAAGACCTGGACCTTGCTGTTCCTCACCACACACGTCTCGTTCCTGTGGGGCAGAGAGGTCAGATGGAGCAAACGTCCCTGTCAAGCCTGAGGGACTTGGAACTTGAGTGAGACTGCAGAACTTAAATAAAGGTGGCATAGCTGCTCTCCAGTCCCAAATTTGAAAGGGTGCCTCAGCCCAGGGGATGGCACCAGCAGGTAGAAATGCCCCTGGGGTTGGGGGAGCTTGGTGAGGGGATGAATGCCTGTCCTTACAGTCTTATGAATTCGGTGATGTTGAGCTCGTCCTCGTGGCTGCCAGGGGAGAAGGAAAAAGCCGAGAATTTTGCTGCTCTTAACTCTGGCAGGTGAGGGGGGTGCCTGGTGGCACCGATGATGTAGAACCATTGTCCCAGGAGCTGCAGAGGGGAGGGAAGTGGGGAAGGTTGGGGCAGCCACACCAGGTTCACCCACGGGCACCACGTGAGTGAAAAGCAGATGCTGTGTCCTGCCATCCCACTGCCACGAGGACCCCTGGTAGGTGACCACCCTGGGGCAGGATCCAGTCTGGGTGAGGGGTTTTATCCCCTGAGTTTTGTCCCCTCTCTGCCAAAGTGCTGCTGCAGCTCCCAGGATGGCTAGTTCTTTCTGTGGTGGTGTCCCTCCTGCTCAGTGCCCAGTTCTCATTGCTTTCCTCCCATTAAACACTCCCAAGGGACTAAATACTGTTTATGCAGTGAAGAGTTTGCGGATGGAGGCTCGTGACCTGAGTCACCACCACTTGAAGAACTTAAAACAGAGTGACAAGGCACTGGGATGGTGGTGCCCAGCCTGGCTGGCACGAGGAGATGGAAGCAGGAGCCTCCAAAAGTGCCTGCTCATGAGATTATGGGTGCAGAGCTGTAAGGCTTCACCCCTTCCCTGTGCCCCGGTACAGCTGTCTGGATTTTTTTTTTAAGAAAAGCAGCATGGATAGCCAGCCAGATAAGCATAGAGCTGATGAGTCTATAACCTCTTCCTGGACCTGTAAGGGCTAGGAATGCTGACAGGAAAGGGGAGGGCAGGGCTTACCCTGGGGATGGTGGTGTTGTCGAAGGTGATCGGGACGAGCGGGGCGCAGCTGGGGGGCTCGATGGCTAGGGCTAGGGGCAGCCCCAGGAGGAGGGTGAGGGTGGCCAGCATCTTCTGGCCAGCTGGGAGGATGCTCCTGCTCTGCCAGGCTGTTGATCAGCTCTGTCCCTTATATACAGCTGCCAGCAACGCTGGACATTCCCAGCACCAACGTGCCTGTTGCGCTGCTGGGCTGTTTGCTCAAGCATGAAGCAATAGCAGGTGGAGGAAATTCAACTTGCAAAATCTTGGATTTCTCCAACAGAAGAAGATGAGAAAACCCCACCACCATAACGCTTCACCAATGCAGGCTTTTTTTTCCCCTCGGAAACTGCAACTAATTTTGTGGGTGTGGAGCACTTGGCAGCTCCAGGTGTGTTTGGAGGCCTTGAGGGCACTGAGGGGACCTGGGTGTGGCTTCCCTCCAGAGGGCAAATAAACCTCCACAGAGGTGGATGGGTGGTGGTTGTTGACCCCTAGGCTTCAGTTCACACTGGCCTTGCTCCCTGCCAGGGCACGGGGCTGGCACAGGGGTTCACATGTGCTCTTGGGGGGCAGATGCTGGGGGGGATTCCGTGGGGAATGGGGCCTTGGGTACGAGGCAGGAGACCCACCAGTGCAGTGGGCTCAGGCTTTTAACAAACTACATAAATTACAACTTCTTCAAATGCAGAATCTCCTCATTTAACAGTGCCTTAGAGCTCCTCTAATGTCAGCTTTGTATTTAAGTGTGGTGAATGATTTATTAGATGTGTTTGCTTTAGCCCTGATCGCAGCGCGGTTGAGGACTGGCAGCTCGTGTGAGGGACAGCCCCAGCCCAGATGGGTTTTAGTGCCAAAGCTGACCTGGTGCCATCACCCAGCACCTCATTGTGCCCTGGGATGTCCCAGCACTGCTGGGAAAGGGCACAGCAGTGGGTGAGCAAACACAGCTCAGCCCCTTCCCGCTGCTCCTGTCGCAACCGGGACCAGCCAAGGCAGCATCTGTGGTGCAGCATAACTGGGTTTTTCCCTTCTCACCCTCTTTTCCTCCCTCTTTTTGCCCCTTCATGTTGCCTTTTCTTTCCCCTTTTCCTTTTTTCCCCCCTTTCTTCCCGGCCTCACAATTTCCCTTACAGTTTGTTTCCCTTACAGTTTGTTTCCCTTTTTCCCTCTCCTCCTTTTCCCCTCCAGTTTTTCCCCCTTTGTTTGCCCCCTCTTTTTTTTTTTTTTCTTTCCCTCTTGCTCTGGGCACTGTGTCAGGATGGGGACATGGATGAGGCATGGGGTGATGGGGTGATGCACAACAGTGGGGAACCATCAGGATCCCAACCTCGTTGTGCATTTTGCATCATGCTGAGGGTTGGGCAGGTCATGGAAGTGTTTGGGGGAACCTAGGCTGTCACACCAATGTTGTCACCCCTGGGAGATGGGGTGTGTGTGTGTATTTCTGCACCTCTTGCCTACAAAGAAACAAAAAAACAAAAAACATTTTCCAGTCCAGTTTCATTGCCTCAGTTTTAAATATTTATTTAAAGTCAAAAAAAAAAAAAAAAAGAAAAAGAAAAGGAAAAAAAAGCTTTGAGAACAAATGGTAACTGCAGCCTCAGGAAAACACATAAAACCAATGGCAAGGGATGAGAGATGGAGAGACCTGCAGTGTGGGGGGTGTGCAGGGAGGCAGTGAGTGATGGGTGATGGTGATTTTGGCCTGGGGGTGAGGTATTTCTGGCAGGGGGCTGCGTGGGGGGGCGAGGTATTTGGGACAGATCCTGTTAACCTTTTCTGATGGTTGTTGGAAACCAACCAGCAGGCAGTAGTTAAAAAAAAAAAAAAAAGAATACACAAAGAGAGACTCACAGATAATTTTTTTTTTCCTCCAAAAAAAATAAATTCCATAGTCCATATGAGACATGAAAACTCCAAACAGGCACTGAAAAGTTTCTGATACAGTACAGCTCTGATTACATCAATATTATTCCTTATATAGAATTAAAGATTACCATAATTATCCTCTTTAAAAAAAAAAATCCTCCAAATTTACATATAGAGACTAAATTTCTACAAAACTTAACAAAACAAAACCCCTCCAAGCTTGGCTGGGTTCTGAAACAAGGT